ATGGCTTGTTATGCCTTTTAGGTTAACTAATGCTCCTAGTACACCCATGCGCTTAATATATAATGTTGTGAGAAAATATATGAGAAAACATGTTGTTTATATTGATGATATTATAATTTATTTGAAGATTTTGCTTGATCATGTGGAACATGTTAAACTAGTTTTGATTACACATAGAAAAGAGAAATTTAATTTNNNNGAGAAATTTAATTTTAATAAGGGTAGTTTTTGCATAGAAAAAGTTAACTCTATTGGCTTCATAGTTGATAAAAGTAGAGTAGCTTTAGATAGAGACAAAGTTAAATTCATTATGGATTTGCCAATACCAAAAAGTGCACGTAAATTTTTGAGTTTTCACGAGTTTGCTAACCTCTATAAGAGATTTATAAATGATTTTAGAACCATAACTGAACTATTGAATGACTTAGTGAAAAAAAATATTGTTTTTAAATGGGGAGAAATGCAAGAGAATGCATCAAATTTTCTTAAGAAGAAATTAAGCAAACCATCATTTGTTTTGGCTAGCTTTGATAAAATTATAGAAATTGAATGTGATGCATGTGGTTTGGGCATAAGTGTTCTTTTAATTCAAGATGGAAAGTACTTAATATATTTTAGTAAAAAACTAAATGAGCCAGCATTAAAATATGCTACCTATGATAAAGAATTATTTGTTTTAGTTCATATATGGCATGTGTGGCAACCCTACTTATGGCCTAGAGAATTGGTGATCCATTTTGATTTTAGTTCATATATGGCATGTGTGGCAACCCTACTTATGGCCTAGAGAATTGGTGATCCATTTTGATCATGAAAGCTTAAAGGCATGTGTGGCAACCCTACTTATGGCCTAGAGAATTGGTGATCCATTTTGATCATGAAAGCTTAAAGTATGTGAAGGGTCAAAGCAAACTGAATCATAGACATGCAAAGTGGGTGGAATTTATTGAGACATTTTTGTATGTCATCAAATATAAGCAAGGTAATATGGTAGCTGATGTGTTATCTAAAAGGTACGATCTCTTTACTTCTCTTAGTGCAAAAATTCTTGAACTTGAGCATATTACTTAATTATATAGAGATGACCAAGATTTCAAAAATATTTATGTATCTTGTCTTGCAAAAAAAAGCTATGGATGGTTATTATTTGTTTCATAAATTTTTTATGCTTTGTATTCCTAAATGCTCTATAAAAGATTTGCTTTGGAGAGAAGCACATGGTCGTGCCTTAATGGGACATCTCAGGATTAATAAAGTTTATAAGATGTTGCATAAACACTTTTTTTGGTCGAAGATGAAGCACGATATCCAAAAGTTTTGTAGCAAATGTTTTAAACGCAAAGAAACTAAATCTAGATCACAACCAAACGAATTTTATACTCATTTGAATGTACCTAACAAACCTTGGACTAATATATCTATACAATTTGTTCTTGGTTGACTGCACACTGAAAATGGTAAAGATTGTATTTTTGTTGTGGCAGATATGTCATTTTTTTTTTTGATTCGAGGACAAATCCGATTCAAAAAAATATGTCAACAACAGAATTTGAACATATGCGCAAATAGCTCAATTAATTTCAAACCTATCGCATTTGAATGTACCTAACAAGCCTTGATCAAGTTAGATTGTGGAGTGACTCAATTTAGAATAAGGTTCCAAATCTTGCTTCTAGATCTTCGATCGTAAGAGGTAATCTAATTCTAGCCTTATCTCTAGGTTGATCCAAATTTCATATAAGGAGGTATTAATTACTTTGATTCAAGGGTTCTTGCTAAAACAAAAGCTTGGATCGTTGGGCTGAGGATTTGGGTAACCTTATCACCTAGTACGAGGTGAAATACCTTGGACCCAGCCTCCTATGACCATAATTCTAAATGGCAAGCATGCCTCCGTGGAGAGCACGTAGTAGCCCTAGACAGTATAGAAAATGCCTTGGTACAAACCACATAAGTAGACCTAAGAAATATTGTTCATACAACCACCTAAGAAATATTGTTCATACAACCAAAGACGATCACTATAGGAATTAAACACCCCTCAAAGCAAACCACTACCTCAATTGAATTGAGTTTTGGTTAAGTTGGGAAGTTGCGAGATAAAATCCACCAATAATGAGAATGAAGCAATGGAAGTCATGACTTCAAGGTTTGGTCGGAGGCTTCACGAACTAAGTTCAAGTTTATGGACTTCCAAAAGTGTGATGTGCCCTTTATGCCACTAATGAGATATGGGGTGTAGGATATTCCTATTGATGGATCACCTAATGGATGACAAGTCGTTTTAGACCTTATGGATGACAATTCTTATTTGAAACTATAGTTCTAGAATTTTTTGAACTTATCTGTTCTCCCTCACCTTAAAATTTCTAAGGTCCTCGTAAAAAGTTTGAAAGTTCAACTTAAAAAAATAAATCGGGAATTTAATACCTTGAGTGCTATACCATATGTAATCTATGAATTGCTTTCTCTATTTTATATTTTCTACTGGAAAGTATGCATATTTTGTTGTCCATTTTATGAAAGTATTTTAAAAATCAATCAAATATTTATTATTCTTGGGCTAGTAACTATTATCTATTCGAGGAATTTTGTTATTGAAAATCTAATAATCTCTAAAATTATCCCAAAATTAACCTTAAATTGTGTTGCATAACCGAAATTAGTTAAATCATTAAGTTTTTTACAACCATAGCATGCATTTACATAGTTTCTTGCATGTACTATAAGTATGTATATTTATTCACATGTCCAACACAAATTGGTAGTTAAGCTAAAGGTGTATTAGGAAATGATAAAGAATATTGTCGTTTTCTTTCTTTTCACGGTGGCTTTAGTGGGGGCTGAGGTTCCAAGGGTCGCGTTACCACCACCAGGACCTTCTAGATATTACATTCATGTGGTTAACGGGCTAAGCAAACTTGGGTTGCTTGTGCATTGTCAGTCTAAAGACGATGACTTGGGGTATCATCGTTTGCTTAATCATGGAGATGATTACCAATGGAACTTCAAGGTTAACTTTTGGGGAACAACCCTCTATTGGTGCAAATTGGAGACGCCACATGCATATGTCTCTTTTGAAAGCTTTTGGCCTGAAACGCAGCACTTATGGCTCCGTGATAGGTGCAAACATGGAACTGTAGGAACTTGTATTTGGACGGCTAAAGATGATGGAATTTACTTGAGAAACTTTCTTGCTAATGTTGATGAATTGATACACAAGTGGATCTATAAAAGATAGAGAAGCTTTATTATCTCCTTTTGGTGGAATTATCCTTGAGGAACAAATGAAAAATAATGGGATAACACGAAAAGGTTGTTGTTGTTGTTTTTTTTTTTTTTTTTATTATTATTTTTTTGTATGAAATGTATTTGATAATGAACGGGTATTGTTTTTCTCCAAAATTATAAAAAAAATTAAATTTGTGTATGGAAACAAGTTTTCAAAATTGTAATATCGTTTTTATATTAAATCTAAAAAAATAATGATTTCTACTGACAAATATTAGAGAAAGTTTAGAATAATAAAATCTAAAATAGGTATTAAATGCTCATGTTACTGCAAATCTTCACATCAATTTTAAAATAGGATGGTAGGCACAACCCTTGAATTTCCATATATCTTATTAAAAGTTTCCCAATATAAGTTCCACAATCTTTCTTGATGTCCGATTTTCAAGAATTTGGATTTCCGACCAAAATTAAAAATATGAAAAAGCAAACAAAAAATGAAAAGTAAAATAAAATAAAACATGAAAATTCGATAAAAATATAAATTTAAATGAAGATAAACAACACAAAAATTAAATATAAAATAATATTTAATTACAAGAGGGTGTTAAATTTTTTTATAAAGGTGAAAATTGTGTTGGGATATACAAACACCACTAGTGAGGCAAATATCTTATATCGTGTAAATTATATTATTCAGTTAATAATGCAATCACACACAATATATGACTGTGACTTATGGATTAAACCATAGCATCACCTCAGGTTTTTTTCAATTCTTGGCAGAGTTGGATGCATGGTACTTTTCTACACACGGCTCATGTACACATACATGGACCCATCAAACGAATTGTTATACGTGCCCCTTACGCCGGACTTTGTCGGGCACAACACAATACACGTCACTGGACCCTCATAAAAGAAAAAGTCTTCGTGATAACATGTCGGACATAAATATCGAAGGTATGCATCCGTACTAACATAACATAACGGGGAAGTATCCCGATACACATGACATACATACATGCACGAGGTCCCATAATTTTTATTCATAAGATAACATTTATTTCATTTCCTTTAACCTTCCCTCCAATCACGCATACATGGATAAACATCACATAATTCATCACATAACTTTACATGGAAAGATGTAACATTTCATACCTATCATACCATAACATATACCATCACAATATAACATATCATAAACATGTCACTTATCACTTGTCTCGTACCATAACATATTTCATATCATTTTCATATCATATCACAATGTGTGTGTGTATATATATATATATATATATATATCTGTCATTTAGGTGTCGTATCATAATCATATCGTATCGTAAACACTTCATGGTCATATCGTAACCTAATTTATCACAGCCTTAACATACTTAAACCTATCACAATGATATGGATTTCATGAACGTACCTTAGTCATATCGTTATAGGAATATATCTTAACACTATCGTTCTATCAATCTTTCATGATCCTATCCCTTTCTACCCATAACCTAACCATATACTTTTATCAATTGATTATAACCATATCATTTTTATCAATCTCTCATATCCATTGCACTTCTATACGTAACCTAACCTTAACGTTTCATCAACATATCTTACTCCTATCATTACATTACGTTCAATGCATTATTTTCGCATCCTATCTCAAACATATCATTGAACACATCGTACCATAAATATTAACATACAATTAACATATTAGAACATATGAATACCATATCATAAGCATATCGATCAATAAACAGTTCACACATATCAATATATATGACACGTGCAGAACCATAGGGCACGTGTCAACATCAAATATAATCATGCCGATAGTAAGGCCACTCACATGATTAGTTTAGGCTGGTGTCACCAATTAATCATTGAGAAAGTTCGATTTTGTTCTTTATATTCAAGTCAACCTATAAGAACCATGACATCAAGTTCAATGTCAATTCTCTAAATTTTACAACGCTCCATGTGTTAGACTTCATGTGAGTATTAGAGACTCTATGAGCGGAGTCTTGGAGGGTTATATATATATATAATTCCATTTTCATTAAATATGTTATTTTCTATTATTATTGTTTTAGGAAAGATATTATTACTAGAAAGAATTTGATGGAGTTTCTTGACATGACATTTCATCGGTTTTGTCTTTTAATTTTCACCAAATCCTTAATTTTTTCTCTATTAAATTTCCTCTATGTATTTTTAAAATTAATCGTATTTATTTTAATTCTTCAAATTTCCTCTTTTTCTTTTAATCAATTATTGCTCCTACATCTTGGCTTAAATTTTCTTACCATATTTATTTATTTTTTTTTCTTTTCTAGTCTATTCTTTTCCATTAACCGTTTGGCTCTACAATATCTCCTTTTTCTTTCTTTTCTTATTGTATTTTTCTTTTATTTTTCTATTTTATTTTGTTCGGAGTATTCTTGATTTCCATTCGTATTGCATTTTGCTCGATTTGTGCTAATTAAGTGTCGTGAACTCGCATAGGTTTACTTGGATTTCAAAAGGAAAAATTGAACTAGCTCCAAGTACAATTTAGGGACTTCAACTTAACTACCTTGGTAAGTTTCTTCACTACTGTTTTGGTTTGATGAATTGTTTGAAGCACGAGTGGCGGATTCCCCGTGGCCCTTGCTTGTGTCGTCCCTTGTGATTTCTATATTTGCATATTATGTTATGACGTGTTGTTATGATGACAAATGTTACGTTTTGTAATTTCATGTTTACTTATTATGCTATTGTGAATGTGACATATTATGAAAGTATGGTAGCATAGATTACATTCACTTTATGTAATGATAAGAAATGGTTATGTAATGTATGAAATGAACAAAGATATGCATTGCACCAAAGATATATGCCAATATTTTAATTGGGATAGCATGGTAAGTGCTAGGCTGCTCTCATCATCCATGGGAGGTTCGTTGGCGAACCCTACCCACAGGACAATCTAGTCACCCAAGGTTAGGGAAGTGATCCCCTATGCTTGTCAACTATTAAGATTACCCTCATAATCCTACGTCCCCTCTTTTGACGGATCAACTATGCAAGATAATCAAAATGAACTATCGTTCACACAATCCTGGTTGGCCTAGGCCTAGGTCGACAGTACTTGTACCAAAGTGTAAAAGGAAGTTGAAGTAACGGCCTAGATGCTACCTTTTCTTGCTTAATTTGTACCATCTTTCTATTCTTTGACCATGGAAACCTTCTTTGCTTATGCAATGAGGGATCGAATACCTAGATTGAGGCACGTCTTCATAAAATTCTAATCAGACATTATGGTGATTTCTAGTATGAACATCTTGGAAAAGAGGTTGGTTGGTTTCTTCCTTATGGCCAGAGAGTCACCTATATTTGGGGATGTGATAATTCTACACTAGCCAACAATTACGCTATCTCATGGTATCCCACACTCCCTTTTTAAGGAATAGGTTAACAACATAGTGACTATATTCAAGAGGCTGCAGGCCATTCAACGGAACAGAAGCTCAAACTACTAGCATGTGCTTAGCTCAATAGTACTAATATTGTAGTGGAAAGGGATTGGAGTGTCTAAAGATAGCGTATCATCCACGCATCTCATAGCCTAGATAGTTACCTTGGTCATTCTTTGGAGTCGTGGAGATGTACCATTTTATTAGGGGCCTCTAATCACATCTTTGGGTAAACACAAGTCTAGATTTTTTATCACCGCTCAATATCCTACGGTATTTTCATAAGGCAACCCTAATCCTTAATCCAACGAATCATGCTTTTGTTGAAGCAAAAACACTTGAATCAAAGTAATTAACACCTCCTTATACAAAATTCAGATCAACCAAGAGATAAGGCTAGAATTAGATTACCTCTTACAATCGAAGATCTAAAAGCATGATTTGGTAACCTTGTTCTAAATCGAGTCACTCCGCAATCAAGCTTAATCAAGGCTTAATTGAATGGCTTGGATGCAATTCTACCACAAGAATTGCTTGAAACTTAGAAAGGACTAATATGATGTTCCAATTTCTAAGGAAACGTCTAAATTTGAGATCTCAATTTCATCCATCCACGATTTTGATTTTTACATAACAATTTCTTGGTATTTATACTCCCCATAAATGCATAAATGACGTTTGTGACCATGATTTAATCCCGATCCCCTTAAATCTCCAAGAAAGACGAAGTCAATTTGGCCATTTGACAATTCCAAACAATATGAAACTAAAAGTAATAAAGTTTTCCACCCAACTTTGATACGTTTAAGTGGCTAAGGAGACGAACATTTTTTATTCTTATCATATTTAGTCCACTAGAAATCTATGGACCTTATCAAGATTCTACACACGCTATCTCGTCCTAATCTTATCACGATTTTCTAGTGCTTGCGAAGCACATGTCGCTCTTACCAATTCTAATTTCCTATGCAATGGAAAGCATAGAAAACGACATTCATACGAAATTTTATCATAGGGGAATTTTGGTAATTTCTTCCATCATGCATGATGTACTCATCCATATTGCTCAATTTTTATTTTAATCAAGCATATAATACATAAAAGACATACATACAATACATACTCACAAAAATAAAGCTTTTCTGAGGTCGTTAACATGTATTTTTGACCATCTAAGTTAAGGAATGCTCGTTGCATGCTATCATGTCCTAGCGATCTTTACAAGTATTACTTGCCTAAAGTCTATGTGGTTACTTACTTGAATGACGCTTACCTTCTTGAGCCAGCTATTCCATGTGTTTGGAGCTCAAGAATTTATGGAATTTCTCTCGTAGATCCTAATTCAAGCATAATTATGTTAATATCGAAGTCAAGACAAAAAACTGACAAATGGAGGTCGAACGAACAAAATGACACTCACATGCACTTACACACGTCG